GAACTTGTAGATAAATCCTTATAAAAATTAGCTAATCTGAACAAGAAAAGACAATTTAAAAAAACAACAACAGTGCCCCAGGAATTTAGAGGACAATAACTAAAGGTCTGCCATTTGTATCATGGAAGTCCCAGAAAGGCAGGAGAAAGAATGCATACTTTAACAAAATAATAGCTGAAAACTTCGGAGACATAAATCTATCAATTCAAACAGCAGAGTGGACCACATCTAGAATAATCTCAAAGAAAAATGTGCTAAAAACAAGAGACAAAGAAAACAATCTTGAAAGAACTGAGAGAAAAATGGCATATTATCTATAAGGCTATGAATTTCTCACTAAATATGACAGGGGAGAGAAAGAAGTGGCACATCATTTTTAAAGCACTTATGGAAAAGAAATGTCAACACAGAATTCTATGTCCAGTGAATATATCCTTCCAGATGAAAGTGAAATTCAGGGAACCTCATATAAAGGAAAACTAAGATCATTCATTAGCAGCTGACTTTGTCTAAGTTTATAGCTAAAGAGGGTTCTTTAGTCAAAAGGGAAATGATGCCCCCCAAAACAGGAAGAATGAAGAAAGAGCAAAGGAAATGATAGATATCTGGGCAAATATAAAACACTATACTCCTCTTGAGTTCTTTGTTGAAAGCAAAAATTCTAACATTTTCTATGGGGTTTTCAATGTATGCAAATATAACAAATAAAAGTAAAAAAAGAAGGGAGGACAAAAATACCTATATGGTGGTAAGGTTTCTGTAGTCCACTAAAAGTGGTAAAATGTTGATTCTAAATTGTCAGTGAAGTATGTATATTGCAATCCCCAGAGCAAGCACTAAAAAGGAAAAAAGATACAAAGAGATATACAAGAGACCAATCAAAATAAAGTGCTAAGAAATATTCAAATAGCTCAAAAGAAGGCTGAATACAGGAAACAGAGAAATGAAAATAGAATAAACAGAAAACAATAAAAAATTATAGGCACAAATCTCAGCATAACATAATAAATAATGACATTAAACTCAAATTGTCTAAACATGTAAATTAGAAGACAGAGACTATGAGGATGGATAAAAGTATGAAGCAACTACATGCTAACAAAACCTCACTTGAAATATAGCAGTAGCTAGGTTAAAGTGAAAGAATTGATGAGGTTTAAGTGTAAAGCTGGCCAGAGAAGGCCACAGGGTCTCCACCCCACTCCCACCAAAGCAACTGCCCTCTGAACTCCTTTCTGGGATTCCTCCATTTTACACGCAGCAAATATTCAGGCATAGGTTAAGTGCTGACATGGCTTCTGCCCACACGTAATGAGCAGTCTTTTAAATTCTTTTATTATTTTGAAGAGAATTCAGCTGCTACAGAAAAAATTGGAAAATACTGCCCTCAGATGTCCCAAGGGAGGTGACTCGGGTTCTGGCATAGATCTCTTTGGAAAGGCAAGGGGCCAGCCATTCCCAGCCTAAGGGCACTTCAATGGAGTCAGCCTGCATTTGGAAACAAAGTTGTGGCATTCAACTCACTGGCTACAGTTCTTCCTCCATTTAGTCAGACACAAACGGAGACTCATAAAGCTGAAAGCGACCTTATGAATCTCCCTGCTCATGCCTTCATTTCACAGATGAGGAGACTGTGGTCTAGATGTGGGAAGTGACTGGCCCAAGGGCGTATACCTTGCTGAGGCAAAAATGGAATCGGAGCCCAGTTTCCTGGGTCCCAGCACAGTGCTCTCTCTACATTACACATAAAACAAGTATTGATTGGACAGCTATATATGTGAGGCAATGTGATGACCGTTTCTGTCATCATGTCATTTGAACTTCAGTTGGAAATATAGACATTAAATAATTACACAAATAACTAAGATGGAAATGAGTGTTAAGTTACTAAGGATAAAGGAGAAATGTGAATACGTTGCCGTAAGAAAATCTTCAAGATATAATCCACCACCAGTAGCACCACATTCATAGTGATTTCAATGGGAAAGTTTCACCTTGGAAAGTTGATGCATTATCATATGTGATCTTTCAGTGATTAAGTGAAATTTCATGGTAAGTCTGCAACCTAGACAGTGCTTTTGTCTTACATCTGAAGCACAATCTTAGATAGGTACATGGAGGAAATGTCACATTAGGATACTGAGAAACTAGAAAAAAGATGGGCACTTAAAGTCATGATTCTAGCCATGGGCACGTTGCTTTGTTGGACCAGGATAAAAGAGCCATTGTGAGGTGAATCCAGCCAAGTATGACCCACAGACTGCAGGGGAGGTAGCCCTGGAGCCACAAAGGCCTGAAACAGGCTCCAGCAAACAAAATGACATAATTCACACAGCAGGAACTCTCTGCTGAGTAGACCAGGTAGTTCTGAAGACCAGGAAATGAATGCATCTAGGGTTCTATGTTTCAAAAGGACATGATGGAACTTGAACAGATAAAACTTCTCATGTTATCTCAGAATCTGACAGGTATAATACTTTCAATGGGGAAAATTCTGGGAAAATTGACAAGTTATTCTTTTGGGAGATGTTTCCCCCACAACTGGCACTCTCATGGTGGAAGCACGTAAAGTGTCTCTGATTTCCCCCTACACTTTCAAGGGATAAACGCAATCATGAAATCTGAGACTTGAGGTAAAAATGGTCATTATGTAGCAGATGGCAAATTACTACATGGGAGAGTTTAATAAACCATACTCAAGTCTGTAGCCCAAGAACTGATCATTCTATTATAATAGGAAGTCAGGCTCTTAACTATATCAACAACAAAAAATACAGAGTGGGGTGAGGGGACTGGATAAAAGAAGGTGAAGAGATTAGCCAAAGAACATATATGCATAGCCCGTGGACACAGACAAGTGTGATGATGGCCAGAGGGGAGGGGGCGGGGGCTGGGTGGCAGTGGGTAAAGGAGGGGAATGGGGGACATCTGTAATAGTGTTGGCAATAAAAAGTTTAATCGAATGCAAAAACATAGTATACAATTCTGTATGAAGCATAGAGCCTTTTGGAAGAAAAAAAGTAAAGTCATTTAGAAGGAGGCTGAGATAACTACTAGAAGAGATGTTTGTTTTTTTGTTTTTTTAAATATATTTTATTGAGTTTTTACAGAGAGGAAAGGAGAGAGATAGAGAGTTAGAAACATCGATGAGAGAGAAACATCGACCAGCTGCCTCCTGCACACTCCCCACTGGGGATGTGCCCGCAACCAAGGTACATGCCCTTGACCGGAATCGAACCTGGGACCTTTCAGTCCGCAGGCCGACGCTCTATCCACTGAGCCAAACCGGTTTCGGCAGAAGAGATGTTCTATAAGCTTCTAAACTACATTGCAAAGTGAGTTAACTGAACAAATAGTTTGCAACAGAAAAACAGAAGTAACTGTCAGAGATTGTCACCACCGTGCTTACGATTCAGGACACACAAGTACCAAACTGGTGTCTGACCACCTGCCAGGGCCCCCTGCTTATCATTTCAAAAACTAAAGATTTTTAAAAATGTTTTATGTATTCAGCTTAAAACTGACATTTATACCAGCCAACCCTTATGGGACAGAAGTAATTTATCATCATCACAACAGGCTCTAACAATCGAAAGCAGCAGCTACCACAAAGGCTTACGGAAATCTCCCTTCTTGAAATTTATTAATAATAGAATGGATTAGTTCCATTTCCCCAGACCCTAAGTAACCTCAGAAGTACCCTGTTAGTTCAGTAATTCTGTGAGTCAATGGGAAGATGACATGATTACTCTTGGGTTCTCTGTTTCAATGTCTTCATAGTGAAGAAGGGACAAATGAAAAATGCAGATACACAGATAAAGCTTCTAATTCTATCTCAGGACTTGATAAAAATAATACTTGTTTTTATATATTATCACTGCTGCATCCAGAGCACACAGTACAGAGTCTGGCAGATAGTGGGTCCTCAAAAATGTTTTTATGAATAAATACACAATCTCACTATTAAGACAAAAATTCTTCAAATCTAAAAATACATGCCCTGAAAATCAGTATGTTGTTATTTATATTGATATGCAAGTAAGAAAGGACATATCAAACATCGATTTTTAAAATTTTTCTCTTGGTATGGTTTGGTGAAATCAGATAAGTGAGATTAATGCATAGCCTTTATTGTCTACTAGTTATGTGATCTTGGGCAAATGACTTGATTGCCTGTCTTAAGTATCTATAGCCTCATATCTAAAACAAGGCAAATAATCTCTTCCTCAGTGTGGTGGTAAGGATTAAATGTGGTCATACTGTCTCCAAATGAAGACCCATGAGAGAGTATGAGAAAACCTCTCATATTCTCCTTAGACCTCAAACATGGATTCTGAATAGAGGTTTATGTCATCCATGTCACTTCCTACGTTTCTTCCCCACGAAACCAGTCCTTCACTCATTGCAGCGAAAATTCTCTACTTTGGCTGCAGATTGGAACCCTAGGAGAGCTTTCCAGAAAGAGGACCTGTTCACTGTGACTGTCCATTGGTGAGTGGGCAGACAGAGCTGTCTGGTAGGGTCCTCTACCTGACCTTGAGTTGCTGGGCCCTGTGTCCTCCAGGAGGCCAGGTACTTGGGGACAGAGAGGCACCAAAAGGGAAGCATTCAGAACACAGGGAGCGTGATGTTTCAGAGGCGAGTGAAAGGCAGGAACAGCACAGAGTACACAGGGAAGAATGTCAATGCCAATTAGGAGCACATGACCTCTTCCTCAGAGAAACATCCTTAATTTAACCAGTAAATGAAAGACCATTTGGAAGTAACTTTTACAAGCTGTGATATGACAGAAACTTCAAGTGAATATATACCTAAGCTTTCCAAAAAAACAGATCTGAAATTGGCTGGTTAATTTGATTTAAACCATAACATATGGATAGATCTAAATGCTGTTGAAAGCCTCCATTTTAAAAGCAACACATGTATTTTTTTTCTATTTAAGTTTAACTTTAAAAAAAAAAAAAAATCTTGAGTGATGTAATCTGTAGGTCAATACTCACCAAGCTGAGCAAAAGCATTTCTCTTCAACAGGGCACCAACTAAGTAGAAGCTGTTCTCATCTTTACCTCCTGAATAAGCCATATGCTACTTTAGTCCTTCAAGGATGTTGCAACCTTTCAGGGCTCAGTTTCTCCATCTGTTAAGAAAAATAAGATAGGGATGGATCTAGTGAAAACACTGTGCTTCACTTCTGAAAACAGAAATCATTGTTAGGCCAGGTGTTTTATTAACAAATATGCATTCTCTTTTTATGTGTTATCTGAAAAGGTTTAAAAATAACACAATGACTTAATGCAGACTTAAAGGAAAATTACCTAGATACCCTTTTTACCCCCAAACAGTACAAATCACATTTCCCCCTCCTTTTCTTTTAATCACGTTCCTGAAACTCCATCTCCCAGATGCCACAAACCTTTCTCAATTAGCCACGGCCTGCCTTAAGATAGAATAAATCTACTGACAGGCTGGGAGCCCTCTTCCTAAGTATGTGGTTGCTAGAATCACATAAGATGATCACAGTATTGAGTCAATAGCTTACCCAGGCCCCAGCGCTGCATGCTAAAACACCCTTGCTTAGCCCATAGCTAGGAGTGGAAGATGTCCAGAAGGCTGGTTCATTTCATATAACATCACCACGTTGGAGGTGATTTGGGAAAGATGGGTGTGGAGCAGCACTAAAGGTAAACATTATACCCTCTGTGGAAATTCCAGGCCTTTCTGCTGCTTTCAGGTACACTGCGCTCATTATATTCAGGGGATAAACCTACACAGTGTAAAAGGCAATATTCTAGGTAATGAAGCCACAAACCAATAAAATCAGCATCAGATTGTGCCTCTCCCATTTGTTATTCTCATTTTCATATACAGCATCTTCTAAATTGAACCAGTACCCTTCAAACCATTACATTAATTGGGGCAAAAAATGATGCTGTTTAAGGACCAAAAGTCACTTTTATTTTGAAAAATAACTTGTAATAGAAATATCTCTTTCAATATACAAAGCAGCAAAAAGTCAGTCTTGAACTCTTGGAATAGAAGGTCAAACTATTACTTCAAAAAAACTAGATAAATATATATGGTGTTCAAATGTGACAAATAACTTGAGAGCATTTGAAAGCATTTAAGGTATCAACTTATAAAGAATAAAAAATTTGATATAATTTTAGAAGATTTGTCTTTTGTTTCAAAATTTTGGTTACTGTCATAATAAAAAAATGTTGGCAAAATGAGCTTTAATTTTCAATTGCTGTAGAATTTATCGACCCTTTTCTACCTGCCAGTATGCATGAAACTGCGGCTCAAGTTCAGGCAAAATATATAACTTCCGTATGGCTCAATTTCCTTTTAAGCAAAATGAGAAAATTGTCAACGATTAGTTCTCTCACTACTTTTCAGAACAAGTAAAACTTATAAAGCACTTTATAAATATAAAAAAAACTATTTTAAAAGATTTGGGGGGAATAAAATGTATAAGCAGGATACATATTTCTAGATAAAAAATTTTCATTTTAGAACCACCTTTGAATTTTCTAAGTCTCCTATAGTATCAAATGTATTTTACAACAGACACAATCCTTAGAGAAATATTTTTAATAAACACTCTTGAATTGGGGAATTGTCTCAGATTGGAAACCAAAAGAGACATGATGACTAAAAGCACCATGGGATCCTGAATAGAATCCTGGAAATGAAAAAGAACTTAAGTGGAAAAACTGGTGAAATCCAAATAAAGTCCAGAACTCAGTGGTTTTGTAGCACTGTTCATTTTCTGGTCTTGATGAGTGTACCACTGTTAATACAAGATTGAGGAAGCTGAGTGATGGGTACATGGGAACTCTGTGTACCATTTTTGCAACTTTTCTGCAAATATAAAATTAGTTCCAAATAAATAAGTTAAAAAACACTCTTTGAGAAAGAAAATCAATTGTTAGATGTTTTATTAAGAACCTAAATCTAAAATAGTTTAATACAATGCATGTGAAATGATTCCACTAGATGGCACCCTGTTTTCTTCAGACACCTCTTTTCACATGTCTGTCATCATCACATGATGTAAATTCTTCTTGAGCTTATTTCATAGCTGCAATAGATTCTACGATTTAACTCATTGCATAAAACAATGTTTGCTTTATTTTCTTGAATGTCTTCTTCCAGGATTTAAGCTTCATTATCTTTCCAGAAATTTAAGATAACATTTAGAAATTCTGTCATTCAACCCACTTATTGAGCCCTTACTTTGTGCCACATGATCTCTACATCTGAGGCAACCCATCCTCCTGCACACTTGAAAACTGCATTAGATTCAGAGCAAGGAGCGAAAAATGTTTTCCCAGCTTTGTTTCCATGACTCTCAATACTCAACACCTCATTGACCTTTACTGCTCAAAGGAAGGGTTAGCTATTCAATAACTTCTAGGTTCCTTTTTTATGTCTAAGCTAAAAACCTAAGTTCATTTGAAAGTTAAAGCCAAATATATACGTTTACCAGTTCCAGTACAGGCTGGTTTCTGCGCTCCAAACTTATTTATCTGCAACATTTCCTGCCCATCAATAACCTCCTTGTAAAACATTCCTGTCATCCATGCTCCTCAACTTGCCACAGCTCTCTGTTAAGAAGCACTAAGAAACCCAAGACAATGAGTTTCATGACATCCTGAAGTTTCATTTTAGCAAAGATATTTCAAACATTGCTAATGTGACTTTTTTTAAAAAAAGGATTAAACCTGTTTGGGGTTGCTTATATGTCAAAATGAAAATAGAGTCATGCCATTTACTAACTTATTCCCAAGTTCTAAACTTACATAAGACAAGAAAACATTCACTTTCTGAATTTTACAGAGTAAGCACTTAGTATACTTCAGAAAGAATTGGAAACAATGATTCTAAATGAGAGAAAAGACTTGTAACACCTGGCCCTAGCCAAAACCAGAAGACATAGAAACAGGGATACCCTCAACTTGGACTAAAGTACCCTGCAAAAGACCTGAGGCAATTCTTAAATCAAATATCCATATAAATCTCTCTCTGCATTTATTTCTCATTTACCAACAAAACCTATAAAGGATAGATTATAATAACCAAACTGGATCTTAAAAATGATTTCCTTTTAAATACCATTTTCTCCAATTGTGAAAGCAATTTTTTTAGAAGAAATTTTCCTTAAATACAACACAAAGCTCTACAGTATGGTTTTTCTGGTGCTCTAAACTTCATCTAAATTTATCACCAGTTTTGAGGGAACAGGCTGTTAAAGTTAAGACATAATTACTTATATTATCTCCAACTTTAAAATGCAAAGATATACTTTTTCATGTTGAATTAAACTGAGGGAACTATATGCTTTAATAAAAATTTCAATTTGCTATTTCTAAACCATTAGGTTTCTTTTATATATATATATATTTTTTTATTGAGTTTTTACAGAGAGGAAGGGAGAGAGATAGAGAGTTAGAAACATCGATGAGAGAGGAACATCGATCAGCTGCCTCCTGCACATCTCCTACTGGGGATGTGCCCGCAACCCAGGTACATGCCCTTGACCGGAATCAAACCTGGGACCCTTCAGTCCGCAGGCCGACGCTCTATCCACTGAGCCAAACCGGTTTTGGCTAGGTTTCTTTTTAAAAAAATCAAAACTGTTCATCAACTTGCCTATGACCTCAAATTTATTTAACAAATATTCCATTCAATTAATTGTTCAAAGACCTTTAGAGAATGCCTTCACCAAGAAAACATGATATTGGTCTCTCCTCTTCATGCCATTCAAATTCATACACTTTAAGATACTAAATTATTTAACTAAAGCTTTACCCAAGTGAGTAGAACTTGAGATTATCTTCCATACATGTGGAATATGTTATATTCCATATACATTTTACATATAAAATATATATTTAAGAGTGAGCCCTAACTGGTTTGGCTCAGTGGATAGAGCACTGGCCTATGGACTGAAGGGTCCCGGGTTCAATTCTGATCAACGGCAAGGGCATGTACCTTGGTTGCAGGCTTGGCATGTGTGGGAGGCAACCAATCGATGTGTCTCTCCCACATCGATGTTTCTCTCTCTGTGTCTCTCCCTTTCCTTTCCATTCTCTCTAAAAATCAATGGAAAAATATCCTTGGTGAGGATTCACAAAAATTAAAAAAAAAGTGACCCAAGCCCCTGGAAATCTCAAGTAACAAGAGAAAACAAAACAAAACAACAACAACAACAACAAAACTAATGGAAAAATAAGCTCATTTAAAGATATTGGCTAAAAATTACTCAGTCATGTCATATGTTTAGCTAATGACATCAAAATCCCCAAGACATATCTGGATAAATCCAGCTTTAATGTATGGTTTATGATCTTATTTCTTTGATCAAATAATAAGTGTCTGATCACTGGGTTAGGTGGGTGCTGGTAATACAATAATAACCCACAACATGGTGCCATTGTCCTTAGGGAGTTTAATTCTAATGAGGATAAGAGACCAGTCAATTATCAATATCCACAAAAATAAGACAGATACTATGATAGAAAACGACAGAAAATCCCTTTATCTGGCCCAGGGTCAAGTGATATTAGACAAAAGGAGTTCCAAGGAAAATACATAACATTTAAAATACTTTCAACATGAATGAAAACAAATTTCCTGATTAAACGCTCATAATTGAAAATCCACAACAGACTTTCCTGTCTTCACATTTTGGTCAGTTGTATTTTGCTCTATTTATATGCTATAATCTTTTGTTTAAAAAGAAGATAGCATCTATGTTTATGAAAAGGATGGTTGGTCAGTTCTTATACTTTTATACCATGTTTAGAAACAAAAGCTAAGAAAATAAATTCAAACAAACCTTTTGTGTTTCCAGTTCATAAACATCACCACCGACCTCTTAAAAAAATCAATTGATTTTTCTTGCTTACCACTGGCACTTCTTCAATGCAAAACCACACACAAGTTTATCTGCCATGAATTCCCCCCAGGAAGCAAGTGGAAAAGAAGCCATACTTGAAAGAACTCTTAACTTCCCCTAAGATGACTCCTTTAGATAAAGGAGAAACAGAACTTTGTGGGGATGAACTGAACTACTTCCAGATTTCCCAGAGAGAGTCCTTACTTGTGACCAGTTCAGCTGCCTTTAGTATTATA